GGAATATATTAATATTTAAAGAGTATAGCCGAACGGCTATACGTTTAAATATCCAAAAAGGTCCTTATTATTATAAATAGTATAGCCGATCGGCTATACTCCTGAAATAATATATTTAAAGGTATTGCTGTTGTAAAGGTCTTCAAAAAACTACCACAACTGCAAATATCGAAAGAATATGAATGAACGATAAGAAACCCAACATAGAGCTTAGATTACAGGAGTCAATATTTAGTGATATAAATAAACTTAATGCTTACCGAGGGTAGTTTCTGGATTTAACCCTGCAATATTTCTGGCAACATCAATAGGATCAACGTTTGCGAGACTGCACACAGAGGAAAACAAATTATCAGAATACCCTTAGACCCAAATCCTCAATAGATTTGTGTACATAAAAGAGAGAGTGAATTGTTGGGAACATGGCCAGAAACTTGAGAAGTAAAACTTAAAATCTAAGCTCAATATCCTAACATATCAACTTTGTCAAGAATGGAGTGCACTGAAAATCAAAGTTCCATACCCTAAACTCTGTCAAGGATGGAGTGCAACTTTTATTTCGCTTTGCCACCACTCACCAAGAGCCACTTTTTTGTATGAATATATTGACAGGATTATCACACAATTATGATGGGTCGAGATTGAGTCTAGATGATCTTGATCACATTTCAACCTTGTCACTCGAGCCAGAACTCACCAATCTCTCTTTGACAAAGAAGAAAAGGGTCGGGATCACTAGTTATAAGTTTGGGCTCTAGTGGCTCTAACAAAAATTAAAGATAAACCCTATCAGGAGAGATGATCTGATCTGCAACTATGTATAAGAAATCGGATGTTATCCATTATTAGTGGCAATCCACAAGCAGGAGGAACCCTATGAGGGTTCATGAAATGCATATTTACTTGAGTTAAACATCAAATAGCGTCACCATCAACTCAGTATAAAATAGAAATAACAAGGATATCTACCTTCGTCCTAATGAACTCAATAAATAGCATCACCATCAAAATAGAAAAGGAAAAAGCACATAAATTCAGAATCACCAATTGAAACAACGTGTTCATATACTTGAAGAAGTGCTAGCAGTGCACAAACCTAGGAGAAGATGAAATCCATTCCCAAAGGGTTCGAACATTCAACATTGTTTCAGCTATTGTAAAGGTCTTCAAAACTACCACAACTGCAAATATCAAAAGAATATGAATGAATGATAAGAAACCCCACATAGAGCTTAGATTACAAAAGTCAATATTTAGTGATATAAATAAACTTAATGCTTACCGAGGGTAGTTTATGGGTTTAACCTTGCAATATTTCTGGTAACATCAATAGGATCAACGTTTGCAAGACTGCACACTGAGGAAAACAAATTATTAGAACACCGCCTATACTTAGGGTTTTTTTATATCTATATATATAAAGCAAAAGGCAGAGAATGGTAAAACATTCAAAATACCAAAAAATTTCCTTGATTAATTCAAACATTAAGAATTGAAATTATTAATTAAATGAGGATAATATGGTAGATTCACATTTTTCATATTTAAAAAAATTAAAATTAAAAACAAAATCAGATAATAGATCCTATTTTTTTGGAACATAACTACCCATGTTATCTTTTCTGAATTCTAAAAAAAAAATTTTTTTTAAAAAAAACAATTAGCACAAGGGGCTAGTAAATAAAAATAGTATTGCCGACCGGTTTTACTATTTAAAACGGAATAGCCGTGCGGCTATACTAGATTGGACACATAGCAACATGTGCGCTAGGCTCCAGGCTAGTCTTTAAAAAAATAAAAAATAAATAGTATAGCCGGACGGCGATACACGAATTTTTTAATAATAAAAATAGTATCGCCGCAGGGCTATACTACGAATTTTATTATTAAAAAATAGTATAGCCGCCGGCTATACTATTTTTGATGCGTAGTGAAGCAGGCGCTTGGAACCAGGCTGTGGTCTTTTTTATTATAAATAGTATAGTTGACGGCTATACTCATGGTTTAAAAAAAATAAAAATAGCATTTCTGATCGGCTATACTAGTTTGGACACGTGGCGAAATGGGCGCAAGGCACTAGGCGGATCGCTTTTTTATTTTTTTACATAATAGTATAGCCACACGGCTAGCCTCGAATTTTTTATATGATAAAAATAGTATCGCCGAGCGGTTATACTAGGGTTGTTATCTTTTTTTACTATTTTTTACACGTGGTGAAGCAGCGCTAGGCACCAGGTGGTGATCATCTTTTTTTTATTTATAACTAGTATAGCCGCTCGCTATACTCAGGGTTTTTCAATTAAAAATAGTATAGCCGCCCGGCTATACTCTGGTTTTTTCCCATATTTGCAGCTTCTTTTCTAGTGACCTTAGGTATAAAAGGAATAAAACCAAAAAGGAAAATAAAGAAATTCAACAAACTGAACTGAAGCAACGTGTTCACAACCTGAAGAAGTGCTAGCAGTGCACTGACCCGAGAGAAGATGAAATCCATTCCCTAAGGGTTCGAACAGTCAACATAGTTTCAGCTGTTGTAAAGGTCTTCAAAACTACCACAACTGCAAATATCGAAAGACTAAAAGAATTATATATATGCCACAAATATTTTTCAGAAACGGAATACTGCCACTCTTTATGGGCCATCCTCTCCAGCAAACATTCGGTTACTCTTTTCTTTGAGGGATGCAGCCTGCATTGTGCCATAGACAACATTAATTAGAAAACACTATATTCACCCAATCCCTTCCCCCCACAAGACACTAGTTACGAATGGGCCAACCCCACCCATGCCAATTTCCAAGGTTTCAGGCGTGGCACGTTGCCGTGAGTAGTCCAACAGTATCCCGTCAAACTCATAATTAAGTTTATGTTTGTTTTAGGTGAACCTGGAGATGCTACTAGGATTGAATCCCATACTCAAACTCATACAGATCCGACTATGGAGATCTAAACGTGAGTTGCTAAAATTCCAGCTTGATGCATTTGTAGAGATGCCAGACCAACCAGGAAAAAAGAAATCTGAAGAAAAAAAACGCCATTCAAGTTTTCCAAAAATGGGCCGCCTAGGCAAGGGGCTAGGCGGGTCCTCTTTATGGGCCATGATAGGATAGCTTCATCATTTCCTTCCACCGAAGATAGACACCATGTCAGCAAATTTTGAATTTTTTTTTTCTGGTGGGCCATGCCGTCAATCCAAAGAGAGAAGAGAATAAGGCGGAGTTGGCAGAGGGA